CGTTAACAACGCGAGGGTGTCAATGAACATTTCTATAGTAAAAAGATTATGACTGGAAAAAAAGGGGGGGATATTTAATATCTAGATGTCGAACCATGGAAAGAAAATTATGAAGATTACGTTTAAGGCAAACCTTTCCGGCAAGCTTGAATAAACACCTTTTATGTAACACTGGTTGTTAAAATTTAATAAATGGAGTCATCTTCTATAAACTAGTATTTAAATTCTGGATAAATAAATTTCGAAAATTTTCCTGTGGTAGGTTTAATGAAGCATCTTTACATTCAATGAAGTTAAAGTTTGTTTATATGCGATGTTTGTGTGTGGGGGATGGGGTGAGTTTCAATTTTTTTTTCGCTCATCGGAAAGGTCTGAGAAGTTGAAAAACGTCCGCTCCCCTTTTTGTGTCCAAAATACCGGTATATACAAGTTTTAATAAATTGATTTTTTAATGTGGCTCTGGTCCCCTACCCATACCCAAACTGTCCCTGCTCCTTTCAAGATTCCTGGATTTGCTACTACTTGCATAATCTGAATGACAAAACTAGTTATTTTTGTCTTTACAAACATTGGCGTCGGAAGGGGGGGGGGGATTAAGTGGAAGAGAAAAATAAATTCCAACGTACACAGAACTTGACAATCCAAAAAAGGAAAATATGTCCTTTGCCCAAACACAAATATCCTCTTTCGTGGGGAAGGGGGGGGGGGTGTTGAACTTCTTTCAAATTGTTTCCAGACACTACCACTTAACCTTCCTTGGCTTAATCTGCGAAGTTCCTGTTGAGAGTGGGGAGGGGGGGGATGGGGTGGGCTAAGCCTACATGTACGCTCCAATATCCATTGCCTATAACATTGCTACTTTTGCAAAAAACGAGGGTGGGGGTGGTAGTACTTTTTTCCGTCTCCCTATTTCAAGGAATACCTCTTTTAGATATGAACTTTCTTTTAAAAAAGAATTTGTTTGAAACGCTCAGATGAATACTCAGGAGTTTGAGTCTAGTTAATATGTATTTTATAGATCTTTCGATTGTACACCAGTTCTGAGCGGAGGGTGTGCATGATTCATGAATATATATATAATAGTTTACAATAAATTTTATTAGGTATGACTTTTGCATCAAGAATATTGCTTTTATATCTGATTTAAATATCGAATCTATGTTATTTGTTTGCATAAATTTTCCGTTTTCCGTTCCGTTCCGTTTTCCGTTCCGCGTTTTAGCAACACCCACTACCTGAGGATGCTTCCATATAAATATGATCAATTATGGCTTTGCTATTCTTGAGAAGAGGATTTTTAAAGAATTTTCCTATACATTTCTATGTAAAACTTTGGTCGGCCATTTTGGCCCCGCCCTACTCCTGGGGGTCATGATTTGAACAAACTTGAATCTACACTACCTGAGGATGCTTCCATATAAATATGATCAATTATGGCTTTGCTATTCTTGAGAAGAAGATTTTTAAAGAATTTTCCTATACGTTTCTATGTAAAACTTTGGTCGGCCATTTTGGCCCCGCCCTACCCCCAGGGGTCACGATTTGAACAAACTTGAATCTGCACTACCTGAGGATGTTTCCCCATAAGTTTCATCTTTCCTGGCACAGTGGTTCTTCAGAAGAAGATTTTTAAAACATGCCACCAAATTTTCATTAATTCCCAATTATCTACCCTTGAATGAGGGCGTGGCCCTTCATTTGAACAAATTTGAATCCCCTTTACCCAAGGATACTTTGTGGCAAGTTTGGTTGAAATTGGCACAGCGGTTCTTGAGAAGAAGTCGAAAATGTGAAAAGTTTACAGACTGACGGACGCCGGACAAAATGTGATCAGAAAAACTCACTTGAGCCTTCGGCTCAGGTGAGTTAAAAAAGGGTAGCAACTGTTCCTTCGCCATGCGATCGATACTTCGAATGCATGTTGTTTATCGTCCTTCTAGAGAATTTTCGGTGGAGGGCTGCAAATTTTGTCCTATACTGGGCACTTATGGCCATTGAGAAGTGAGGGGTTTTTTGGTGCCAGCACCTACTGCGACTAGAGACCTCGGTTTATATGGTTTTATCCGAAGGACCAGTCTCCAGGTCGAACCCGCGACGAAAGGATTAACTTCTTTCTTAAAGCAGACGTTCTAACCACTTCGCCACGCGGGTGACCTTGGTACTTTGAAGTCGAAGTTTCGGGTCTTTCGGGCAAGACCCCGTGTCACGGCAGCCATTGGCACGATAAAGATCCCTCACAGCTCAATGGCCCTTAGTGTCCAGTGAAGGTAAAAATTTGAAGCCGTTCACAGGTACATGTTGACGTCTCTATATGAGTGAAAAATTCTCGAATGGAACGTTAAACATACTTGTCAATCAATCAGTGGAGTTTGTAATTGAACACCGTTCGTTATCTCCATATTTCATCCTGCGTGGAAAGAGGAGAGGAGAGAGAGTGCATTCACAACAGGAAAGACGGAAAAGTTTGAAATAGAAGATCGAGAGGACTGAGAAAAATCGACGTAAATGCAATAAACTTCTATCAAGTGAAATTACCTAGTTGGGGATATAGTTTAAAGGTTGGTAAGTTGGTTCCCAGCCCCAATAAACTACTTTATATAATCTCACCACCGCCACACTGGATTTAAATCGAACATCCATACTATATCTTTACTATCCATCATCATCAAATACTAGTATACAATTAAATGACAGAAAACAGACTGAGGAAATATACAGAAAAACCACGGACAACTCCCATTGGAGAAAGAAAACTTCAACCCATTATTCTATCAGATGGTACGGGACACGACCTACGAAACCATGTATCAACTGAAGTAGAGAAACAAATTATCTGGCAATCGGAAAGTTGGACAAGGATTGAAGAAAGCATCAACTGGTTGAAAAGAAACATCGCAAAGCATATCACAAATCACGGAGACATCTGGTTATACCTTTGCAAAAACAAAAAAGTATACCAGTCTTAGAAACAACAGTGAAGACGAAATACGAAAAAAAAATCTCCAATAAATACAGAGAAATATCAGAAATTATCAAACAATACACAGGCTCGGAGCTAACCATCCTGAACACTCCCATTTATTCAATCTAAACATGGAATGAAGGGAAAGGACACAAGGACCCAGGCATATTTGAGAATCAAGACGTAGCCTCCGCAAATCAGATATACAACCTATAAAACTTTAAAAAGAACCACTGGGCCAGAAAAGCTGAAACTTACGTGGAAGTATCTTGGGGTAGTGTAGATTCTAAATTGTTCGAATCATGGCCCCCGGGGTAGGACGGGGTCACAATTGGGAAACTAAGTTTTTAAAGTTAAAATATATAGGAAAAAACTTTTTTAAAAAGTCTTCAGAATTACTGGGCCAGGAAACCTGATACTTATGTTAAAGCATCATGGGGAATGTAGTTTCTAAATTGTTTAAAACATGACCCCCGGGGGTAGGGCGAGGTCACAAAAGGGTATCCAAGTTTCGCATTGAAACATATAGGGGAAAAACTTAATTATTCTTCTCAAGGACCACTGGACTAGAAAAGCTGAAACTTTAAATGTGGAAGCATTCTAGGGTAGTTTAGATTTTAAATTGTCCAAATCAAGATTCCTGGGGGTAGGGTGGGGTCACAATAGGTATTACGGGGGGGGGGGAATCTGGTAAAGAACGGCATGGCTAAAGTTAGTCGGGTGAGCGATATGGCCCATGGGCCTCGTTACGATCTGGTATTGCGTAAAATAGTGTCATTTTGATACACTGTATTTAATGTTGATATTTGTTTTGCTTTGATGTTAAGTCTCTTTCGAAATTCTTTTACTTTTATGAAGACGCCATCACTTCCCGGTGGAGAGCTAAACATTATGTCCTATACTCGGCACTTGTGACCATTGAGCAGTGAGGGATCTTTTTCTTGCCAGCACCTACTGAGACACGGGACCTCGGTTTAAATAGTCTCATCAAAAGGACCAGTCTCCACGTCCACGATGGGATTGGAACCCGCGACATAAGGATCAACTCCCTACTTCGCAGCTTTCGAGCAGACGCTCTAACCACTGCGCCTCGATTTAATGTTGAATATACTCATATATTACTTCTTCAACTGTTTATAATAGAAATTTGATGTTCAACGTCCCTTCAAGAATCTTAAAATTATTCTTACGTAAGTCTGTTGTCGCCCTCATGGAGTCGTAGAGTAAATTGTTGATCCTTATGTCGCGGGTTCGACTGCGGGACGTGGAAACCAGTTCTTAGAATGGGACTGTATTTATAAACCAAGGTTCCGTATCGCAGTAGGAGCTAGTACTAAAAAAATCCCTCACTGCTCAAAGGTCCCGGGTGCCGGCCAAATGTAAATGTGCAACCCTCCACAGGCATTGGCAAGTGGTACCTTCTCCACATATGAGAAAAGTATCGTGAGGAACGTTAAACAACATTTTAACGTACTTCAGTCCATTGGTGTACAGCAAATCCTTTTGAAAATATCTCTACGAAAAAATACTAACATTTATTTTAAATAGCCCGCGTGGCGCTGTGGTTAGAGTGTCTACTCTACAGATGCGGAGTAAGGAGTTGATCCTCGGGTTCGAATCCACGGCAGGACGTAGAGACCGGGCCTATAAACGGAGGTCATGTGCCACTGCTCGCAGAAGATGTTAGCACAAAAAAACCCATGACTACTCAATGACCCTAAATGATGTGTAAAAGTATTTTCATACATGTTCGGGTTGTATCTTTGCTTCTCGTTTCTTTGTTCGCTGCCAGCAGTTTTCCAATGAGTTGAAATCAGTTGTTGATCAATTCTTAAACTGCAAATCATTTGCTTAAATATCTTAATGATGCAATCTTATCTTAAAAGCAAGTGATGGGAAGTGTTATCCATATGGGTGTATTATACAATAAAGATTATCATTGATATTATCAAAACAAAGATAGAAACATTATCTATAATCTTTTGTATGTCATTATGACCTAAGTAATCACAAGCTCGCACAACTGTACATTTTAACATCTCAAAATGGGCGGTTTCATTCGCAAATGGGCACTTGTCTTTTGCATTTTTAGTTTCGGTGCATATTATGCTTTCGGTATCAATTGCGATGTTTCAAACTTTCAAGTACAGCAAAACTTTGACCCAACCAAGGTACGTTTTTCTCGTATTAATAGTCTACATTTTATTTAGCTTAAAATTTCTGTTAATTATCAAAAGACAAACAAATTAATACTGGATTTGTCTGCTCCGTTTCGTTGTGGAAAATATATTGATATCTATAGCAGGAAAACTGTTTAAACAGCCTATTACATGTATGATTGGCAGCAGTTATTGCATTGGAAAAATTCTGTCACTCTACTCAAAGTCCAATTGTTAGGCATAGTAATCCATTTTATTTTAATACTTTATGCAGATGTAACATTTTACTGATCAATAACGTGTGATACAATTTCACTTTTTTTTTGAAAATTTTATTTCTATATGTACATATTAGAGGCCCACAGCGGGTGTTGACGGATCGAGAGGGATACTACTAGTCTACGCACTTGATACGACCATTTGCGTTTTCTTTTTATGAATATCTCGTAAAAATTTCAGTATGTTGGTGTTTGGTACGAGATCAGGATGTATTCAAAAACCCCTTTAGCAAAGAACAAAGAATGGCAAGATGTGACTCATACTTATTCCATTTCAAAAGGCAACAATATAAGTGTTATAACAACATACAGGTGAGAACTCTACCCTTGTAGTATATTCCCTATATACTTTTGGAAATTAAATAAAAAAGCATTATCAACTACACAAAGCTGCCTTACAGAGGTCTTCTTTAGGCTAAAAAGTAAGAAAATTGGATGAAAATTTTAGAAAACACAACCACAAGCCCCCTTGTGGTCTCGTAAATAAAGCGTTTGCTTTTTAGTCGAATCCAACTGCCTTACTTGGAGTTGGTCCTTCGGATGAGTCCAATTTAACCGAAATCTCGTTTCGCAGTAGATACTGGCAAGAAAGTCTGCTTAATGACCCAATGTGCCGAGCATAGGTTTAAATTTGTAGTCCTCCATCTGCTTGAGTGAAAGATTATCGCGAGAGACGTTAACAACAACCAATAGAAGCGCTGCAAACAGACGAAGTAGGTGGGGTTACTTGAAAAGCATAAAATTCATCTTTTCTTGTCCAGTGGTTCAACGAAGATACTGTCTAAGGATTGTTTTCCTATTTCAGTACAAAGCTTTATTAACCTTTTTTAACCCACTCTACTCTGGACAATGGGTCATGAACGCTACACTTAACAGAAGACGCTTTTAGAAATTATTTTCATCAATGCATTTCATATACTTGAGTATCTAGCTGTCTCCAAATCAGGATATTATTCTCCAACCTAGCCAAAATACGTCGGAGAAATTCATGCAGCATTAAGAGATATCAAAGTCTGTACCATAGACAAATACAAGAGGCCCAGGGGCCACAGCGCTCACCTGAGCACATCAGCTAGGAAAAAACACATATCAGATCAGAACTGAAAGTTAATTTAAGTTGGGGGGGGGGGGGGGCTTGAAATTTAACCCCCAAGGGGATCATAATTTGAAGAACTAGAATCTACATTATTGTTTCCATACAAATATTACTAATCCAGGCTTTGAAGTACTTGAAAAGAAGATTTAAAAAGGTTTCCCTATATATTTCTATGTAAAACTTTGGTCAGCCATTTTGGCCACACCCTTACCCCGGGGTCATGACTTGAACAAACTTGAATCTACACTACCTGAGGATGATACCACATGAGTTTCATTTTTCCTGGCCCAGTGGTTCTTGAGAAGAAGATTTTTAAAGATTTTCCCTATATATTCCTATGTAAAACTTTGATCGGCCATTTTGGCCCCGCCCTACCCCCGGGGGTCATGACTTGAACAAACTTGAATCTACACTACCTGAGGATGATTCCACATGAGTCTCATCTTTCCTGGCCCAGTGGTTCTTGAGAAGAAGATTTTTAAAGATTTTTCCTATATATTCCTATGTAAAACTTTGATAAACCATTTTCGCCCCGCCCTACCCCCGGGGGTCATGACTTGAACAAACTTGAATCTACTCTACCTGAGGATGATTCCACAAGTTTTATCTTTCCTGGCCCAGTATAGAAGATTTTTTAAAATTGTCAATAATTTTTCTCTAAATCATGATTATCTCCCCTTGGAAAATCGTGGCCCTTCATTTGAACAAACTTGAATCCCCTTCACCCAAGGATACTTTGTGCCAAGTTTGGTTGAAATTGGGCCAGTGGTTCTTGAGAAGAAGATGAAAATGTGAAAAGTTAACGACGACAACGCCAACGACAACGACGACGACAGACAACGGACAAATTTTGATCAGAAAAGCTCACTTGAGCCTTTGGCTCAGGTGAGCTAATAAATAACTAAATTATCTACATCCACGACTAGATTGAAAACATATTTGACAAATTCATTATCCGTTTTATAGAGAGACGGTCTCTGTCGTGGATGTCAACTCCTCGCCAAAAAGAGTCTTTGGTGATCGAACAAAAATAGACCTTCGTGCAACAAGAGAGACTAACAATTGAAATCAAAGTACTCAGAAGTACAGAGAGCCGGGCTCATTTACAGAGTAGAATGGATTTCTTACATGAATCACGTTTATATTCTGATGAAATTATTTTAAAACTATCAATATAAATGATAAGACACTGTTATCCGATTTTGTCAGAATTATAGAGAGACAAACAGGCCAGTCTGGGTTCCCTCTCCTGCTTTACCTCGTATTTGTAGAGAACTACGATAACACTGATTATCAAAAATCCTTACGCTAATGAACTATGTTCTTTGACTTGTGAAGTTTTCAAAGTCATTACTTCAAATGTTTATTTTATATAGATAAAACTTCATTTTATTTTTGTTGCTTTATTTAGCGTTTGTATTATCTCAAAAGCGGTTGAGAGCAAGAACTATATTTTCGCACATAACTTTAAAATGGCGACTATTGGGTTAACATCCTGCCTTGAACAGGATCATATAAGCCGGCAATTGCTCTTTGAGCAATAAGCCCGGCTAAAAACAGCTCATAAAGCTACCGCTCTATATCATTGACTGAACTATTTCAATAGAGGCGAAATCAGCGAAAATCCCACACGATTCAACCAATTCTTTATAAAATATTAGATGTTTGTTATATAGCTTATCATTTACTGAAATGACTGATTTCTTTTTTATATCAAGGAATCCTCAGACTTTGGGGACTTGTTCCAAGTTTCAGTCAACACTGATTCCTACTAGAAGTCCTGGAAAGCTACTGTTCGATGAACAAAACACAGGTTGGATACGTACATAATATTTACGCCCCCCCCCTCCCCTCCTTCACCGTCATTGTAATACAGCTAACCACACATTCAAACAGGGGTGTATGTTTCCAAAGTTAATAAAGAACGTGGTGAAAGGCTACAAGATACCAACAAACATGTACATGAAGTCAACTGATACATAGCAACAAAATTCATACATGCATCAAATTCACTAGCATATCCAATACCAAAAAACTGACTAAATGTACATCTAAATCTTATCTAACTTAATAAACTTCTAAATCTTTATTTAACTGAATTAATAAACATCTGAATCTTATATCAGTTGATAAACATCTGAATTTCAAGCAAACACATGCAGAATCAGTTTAATGTTGACTTAATAGGAAGAACATCACATTTATTAAACTACCGATTTGCACAAGTGAAAATACCTGGTATATCTGATGAATTCGTGATCATTCTATCGCCCGAGTCGCGCAATGGTAAGAGCATCTGCTCCAGAGTCGCGGAGCATTGAGACCGGTCGAGACGAGACGCAGTTGGCGCTGGCATGTTGCTGCTCAAGCACTGAGAGCGAAGAAAAGATTAAAATTTTCAGCTCTCCACTGCAAAGTTGAAGCGTCTAGATAAGAGTGAAACATTCTTGAGTGGGGCGTCAAGATTAGATTTTGTTATTATTTATTTAAAGTTGATAACTTAGTGTATAATATTAATATCCTTCACAATTACAGACGAGATGGTTAACTACTGGGTGATGAATACCGATTATGTGAATTATGCCTTAATCTATGGCTTTAAGGATGAGAACACAAATGGAACTGCAAAGGCAGCCAAGTCATGGGTTTGGAGCAGAAAGCCAACTTTAGCGCAATCCTTTTTACAAAACATCAATACTCAGCTGCAAAATTTGTGCTTGGACAAGACTCCTGTTCATCGTACTATGCAAAAGAAAGGTGACTTTTTATTTGATTTCTTTACCTTCTTCATTGTTTGTGTCACTAGCAAAGCCTACAGCAGAAAATTTAAGTCTACACATTTTCATGATCCGCGAAACAATTATATTCTTCGTCGAACATTAAACATCTTCCCTTATGATTTTTACAGTATTAATTCAAATGTTAGTAGTTCACCTTTTATGGTTTTAATGCCCCCGTAATCGAAGATTCGGGGATATTTAGTTTTTACCCTGTCCGTCTGTCCATCTGCTTTTCCGCTAAAAACTTTAACTTTGTCAGTAACTTTTGACTGGGTGGGATTATGGCTTTCATATTTCACAAGTGTATTCCCACCAAATTTGACCTCTTGACCTTGGTGCTTGACCCACTTTTACCAAAATAACTTGAACCTTGTCCATCATTTTTAAATAGTTGGTGCTAGGGCGTTCATGCTTCACATATGTGTTCACTCTGACAAGACCTTCAAATTGGTACATATAGTTTTGACCTAATAGTTTGACCCACTTAGTAAAAAAACTGATTGTACACACAAGTACTCTAAGTTGACATCAAAAAGATGTTCGAGTTTCTGATTGACAATATCATGTAGTTTTTGGAGACAATGTTTTCCAACAATCAATTGGAATTCCAATGGGTACCAATTGCGCCCCGTTATTAGCAGACCTGTTTTTGCATTCATATGAACCAGGATTTGTCCAAAATGTTGTACGTGTAAAGAAGAAAACATTTGCTGTGGCCTTCAACTCGACATTTAGATATATCGACGACGAATTGTCAATTAACAATGGTAATTTCCATTCTTATGCGAGTATGATATATCCCGGTGAGCTTGAGATAAAAGATAGAGTCTGACACATCTGTTTCAAACATTTGGATATTTTATTTGAAAAAGACGTTAATGATAATCTAACAACAATGCTATATGATAAACATGATGACTTTAACTATACAATCGTCAACTTCCCTTACTTACGCAGCAGTATACCTTCATCACCTGCATATTGAGTTTATACATCTCAGTTGATTCGATACGCAAGAATATGCTCTACGTACGAACAATTTCTAAAACGAGATAAATTTATGACAAACAAATTGATATATAAGAATATCAGCAATATCGTTTAGTCATCATTTCGTAAGATCTATGGTCGAAACAATGACCTTGTCAACAAATATAATTTATCATGGAGTCAAACGCTGGCTGATGTTTTACATACTAATTGTTAGTCCATTATTTAAACACTGAATTGATGACGGATTTTCCGTTATTTCCGATCGTGACAAGGAGCACATGGCGGGTGTGACCGGTCGGCAGGGGATGCTCATTACTTCATGGCACCTGATCCCACCTCTGATGTTTGGAGGTCCGTGTTTGCTCTGCTCCCTCTCTGTATTGTTTAATGGACTTTGGATCTTGAATAGTGTTCGTTATCTCCACATGTTTCATTTATTACCCTTGGTCAAATCTTTTTAACAATTAGTATTAGGGCTTTTATATTTCACAGGTGTATTGCTTGTGAAAATCTCTTGATACCAATAATGTTGAACTTGGAGTTTGAGTTGTGTTTGAGCATTTTGCTTCAAGACCACAAGTGTCGGGTACAAGTCTAAAATCTAAATAAACAGTCCTCACTGGAAGATGGCGGCGTCCGATTATAACCTAAAGTGACAAATTGCCGAAGGTACGTTAAACAATCAAATGAACACACGGAATACCCATGTAAAATATGAAAGGTCTAAGAACCATCCGTTCTGAAGTCGTGGTTTTACGGACAAACAGACGAATAGAGCAAAAACTACATTGTATACATCCACGAATCTTCGATTGCTGGGGTATAAAAAGTAAAATAAAAGGATATATACAATGCAGTTTACCGGGTATAGCGTTCAAAAGAGCAGAGAAATAAACTTGAAAAAACCTCTTCCGAAGCCTTTGCTATGATACTTTCTATATTTTGTTTAAGGTGGTACATTATATATAATATTAGTTTAAATAACACTTATCTTTTGTTTGTAGGTTGTCTAAATTCTGCTGCACCTTTACTGAACGTACCTGCAAAAGTCATGGGATGTGGTTTAATCTTCCTTTACCTCTTTAAATTTACAAGATCATAATTTCTCCTGTGGAAATAAATTTGCAAGAAGAAAAAATTATTTTCACAAGTACATGTAAACATATCTATACAGTTTGATATATTCTTGTTAAACATTTATAATGAAGATATCTCTTTAGATACTAGCCTTTATAATACCATATCATTTAGATTGGCGGTATCACTAAAAAGGATTAATAATAAAAATAATATGAATGGACCTGTTCTTGTGAAAACACCAACCATTTGCGTGTGGTGTAACTTGCATCAAGTTGTATCAAAACCAGCCAGAAATTGTAATTGGACTTTCAATATTAAATAAAAAGTTCTACACAAAAAAAAGTATTTCTACACACAAATACTTACAATAAAACGTTGGAAGTTCACCCTCAGTGGTTGAGCAACTGTATTTATTTACCTAGGTTCAAATCCATTGTGGGAGATTGCTCCTTCGGAAAAGACCTTATTAACGTTTACTAATAAATCAAGACATATATACATACTTGAAATAAGGTCAGTAGAGCTTTGTATCTATAGGCTTAACATTACATGTGCCAAAGAAAAATATATGTTGGCAATTAATTCAACAGAATAGCCAATCTTGAGATTTTTATTTCAAATTTTACAAACGAGTTGTTCTCCCATGGTTATTACTGCCTGTTTGTCATCATCTTGACGAATTCTGCAAACAGAAAACGTAAATAAACATACACGAGGGTTGTCCCAAAAAGTCGAAGACAGGGAAAACAGTTTACTTTCTCTTTGCTCAATTATATTTCTTTCCTTGTCATAGCAAAAAGTAACATTTTATGATCATGTATTTCAAGTTTCAGGATGATATAACATTTAATAGGAAAATTATGAAATTATGTGGCCCCGCCCTACCCCCAGGTGTCATGATTTGAACAAACTTGAATCTACACTACCTGAGGATGCTTCCATATAAGTTTCATCTTTCCTGGCACAGTGGTTCTTGAGAAGATTTTTAAAACATGCTTAACATTACATGTGGCCCCATTTCGACAAGAAAATGCTTTGTGGCAATATGTTGGACAATTAATTCAAAAGAATAGCCAATCTTGAGATTTTTATTTCAAATTTTACAAAAGAGTTGTTCCTTTACCTCTTTAAATTAAAAAGATCATAATTTCTCTTGTGGAAATAAATTTGTAAGAATAAGAAAAAATGAATTTTACAAGTACATGTAAACATATCTATACAGTTTGATATATTCTCGTTAAACATTTATAAGAAAATCTCGTAAATAAACATATACATGTATATATTAATGTAATATAATTACCATTTGCGTGTGGTATAATTTTGTATCAAAACCAGCCAGAAATTGTAATTGGACTTTCAGAGATACTACACACAAATCTTGAGTTTATATAAGCTCTTAAAGATCAAATGGATAAATTATGCGACTGCTCTGGAGTCGCGGAGTAGGGGAGCTGATCTTTACGTTCTGGGTTCAAATCCATTGTGGGAGATACGAAAGCGCTTCAAGACATATATTACTTGAAATAAGTAGAGCTTTGTATCTATAGGCTTAACAATACATGTGCCAAAGAAAAATATAGTAAATCACGGATTTTTATCAAATTTTTTGTTCTCCCATGGTTATTACTCTGTTTGCTGCATTCTGCAAACAGAAAACGTAAATAAACATATATTCTGTAATTAATTACCGATTTTTTCACTATGATATTGACTTGATTATATAGCCTTAAAGAAAAGGATAAATGCGTATTTGAAAACGGGCCACATAGTTTATCTCACTCTTGCTGCTCAGCACTGTGGGTAGTAAAAGAAAAAAATTGTTTCAGCATTGAAAAGGTTTAGTGGACCCGACGTAACCCTAAATGAAAGGGAGAGGGTAGATCTAGCAAAACTTGATTTGAACCAACATTACGGATGCTTACGTATTTCTTTTCCCTAAATTTTATTGAGGTGCAACCTAACCCCTGGGCTGGGTCATGATGTGAACAAATCTGAATCTGCCTGTGGAAGCTTCTATAGAAATATGACCAATCATGGCTTTGCTGTTCTCGAGAAAGACTTTTCGAAATGTTTCTTATATATTTCTATGTAAAACTTTGCATATCCATTATGGCCCCCACCCTACCCAGGGGGCCATGATCTACACAAATCTAAATCTTTAGTTAAAACTTCTTGATGGTGCTTCCACATAATATGACCAATCATGGCTTACTGTACTTGAGAAGAAGATTTTGAAAGATTTTCCCTACATATTGTTTTCATAAACTTTGACAATCTATTGTGGCCGCATCCTACCCCTGGGGTCATGATTTGAAGAAATTTGAATCTACAATACAGATTATGAACCTAATACTGTTTTTCTACTATATACAAATGCTTGTCCACGATGTTCTCCACGAGTTTCATATTTCCTGGCCCAGTGGTTCTTGAATGATTTTTTAAAAGAAGCCTTTTTTTCAATTATTTGTAATTATCTCCCATTGGAAGAGGACATGGTCCTTCATGAGAAAAAATAATCTACTGGTTGTCAATTATATTTTCAGCAAAAAGAGGTGATTTTAAATAAAAGGTATTCTCCAAGTTAGGAAAATAATCCTTTCTTTGGTTAATATGGAAAAAAAACGCTTTTTGCACGAACTGAAAATCATGCAGTGAATAAAAAATATTTATAACTCTTCAAGTTGTTTCTATCAGACAAAATATGAATCGGAACTAAACCGCGTGTTGCAGTTGTAAGAGTGTCTGCTCTCTCAAGTAGCAGGTTCGGATCCAACTGTAGGACGTGGAGACACGTCCTTCGTAGAAGATTATAAATATGGAGGTCACATGTCACAGAAGGTAATGGCAAGTGGTAGATTGAAAAATTCACATTAATTAAATTAAACATTAAAACCACAAAATAAAAGTTAGCTGAATGTTGATCTTGTTGTTCACAGAACATTAATTATGTAAAAAATTTACAATGTAGAGAGGTTGAGTGTTAGCTTTGAGACCCTACAATATTCTTCACTCATATTGGGACGCCATACAGTGCCTTTGTATGAAAGATTAACTTTAAAAGACCTGTTCGCGGAACTGCTGGCCATTTGGCACTGAGGGATCCTTCTGTGCTAGCATCTCTTCTGTTTAAATGATTTTATTCGAAGGATCAGTCTCTTACGCGGTTTCATCCGAAGGATTGGTTTCTAAGTCATGCATTCGGATAAGCGATGAACTCTTTTGTTCGCGACTCTAAAGCAAAACACTCTTATACCTCCACCACACAGGTGACTTATGTGAGATACCTTGGTAATTCACTTGGCCATCGCCATCTTCATCTGCCTCTTTCATCATGTTCTCCACCTCTTCCTCGCTCATTTTCTCCCCGAGATTCAACATCACCATTCGTAGTTCTGTTGTGCTGATGTGTCCATCGCCATCCCGATCAAACACTCGGAAAGCCTCTAACAAATCGTCATCTGTTTCCTCTTCTTTTTCCCTCTTTGACATCAGTAATAAAAATTCGGGAAAGTCAATGTCACCATTGCCTACGATAGTAAATTGAAAAATTGAAAAATTTCAATTTTACGCATACACGATTTTGAATACTTTATTAAGGCATGCAAATATCTGAAAAAACTTTTTATCACCTGAAAAAGCTTTTCTGATCACATTTTGTCCGTCGTCCGTCCGTCTGTCTGTCCGTCTGTAAACTTTTCACATTTTCGACTTCTTCTCAAGAACCACTGGGCCAATTTTGACCAAACTTGGTACAAAGCATTCTTGGGTAAAGGGGAATTTAAATTGTTAAAATAAAGGGCCAAGTCCCCTCACAAGGGGAGATAATCAAGAAAAGACAAAAATAGGGTGGGGTCATTAAAAATCTTCTTCTCAAGAACCACTGGGCCAGAAAAGCTGAAACTTATGTGGAAGCAGTGTAGATTCTAAATTGTTCAAATCATTACCGCCGGGGGAAGGGTGGGGCCACAATGGGGAATCAAAGTTTTACATAGAAATATATAGGAAAAAATCTTTGAAAATCTTCTTCTCAAGAACCACTGGGCCAGAAAACTGAACATTATGTGGAAGCATCCTGGTATAATGTAGATTTTAAAATATCTAAATCATGACCCCCGGGGGAAGGCGGGGCCACAATGGGGAATCAAAGTTTTACATGGAAATATATAAGAAAAATCTTTAAAAATCTTCTCAAAAACTTCTGGGCCATAAAAGCTGAAACTCATGTGGAAGCATCCTTTGGTAGTGTAGATTCTAAGTTGTTCAAATCATTACTCCCGGGGGAAGGGTGGGGCCACGATGGGGAATCAAAGTTTTACATAGAAATATATAGGAAAAAATCTTTGAAAATCTTCTTCTCAAGAACCACTGGGCCAGAAAAGCTGAACATTATGTGGAAGCATCCTGGTATAATGTAGATTTTAAAATATCTAAATCATGACCCCCGGGGGAAGGGCGGGGCCACAATGGGGAATCAAAGTTTTACATAGAAATATATAGGAAAAATCTTTGAAAATCTTCTTCTCAAGAACTACTGGGCCAGAAAAGCTGAAACTTATGTGGAAGCACCCTGGGGTAGTGTAGATTCTAAATTATTCAAATCATGACCCCTGGGGGAAAGGCGGGGCCACTATGGGGAATCAAAGTTTTACATAGAAATATATAGGAAAAATCTTTGAAAATCTTCTTCTCAAGAACCACTGGGCTAGAAAAGCTGAAACTCATGTGGAAGCATCCTGGGGTAGTGTAGATTCTAAATTGTTCAAATCATGACCCCGGGGGAAGGGCGGGGCCACAATGGGGAATCAAAGTTTTACATAGAAATATATAGGAAAAATTGAAAATTGTCAAGAACCACTGGGCCAGAAAAGCTGAAACTTATGTTCACATGGAAGGATCCTGGGGTAGTGTAGATTTCAAGATGTCTAAATTATGATCAGTGGGGTAGGGTGGGGATGCATTATGTATTACAAGGAGGAAATCTGGTAAAGAACAGAATGGTCAAAAAGCTTCTCAGGTGAGCGATGTGGCCCATGGGCCTCTTGTTTACCGATTCATATGTTCAAACACACACTTGAAGTTAAAAACACTAAAATGTTCAAAACTAAACAATTTTCAAAATAAATAGTTTAACTAAAATGACAATATTGTTATTATCATTATTATATTTTAGTTATTCTTATTTGAATTTGAAGTCCATCGTTTTTTTCGGTGGGAGGGATGGGGGGTTAAAGGTTCCGATCAGAGAAATCAAATTATTGAATTTTAAAATAGTAAAATATGTCTTAATAACCTTAAAACCTGTTAATAATTTCCTTTGACATAACAGGGTTGGGGTGTTTTCTTCATAGTTTGTATAAGGTTCTTACCGTCGGCATCCACTTCCGTGACGATTTCGTTAATTTCAGCGTCTGTGGGGTTTTGTCCCAGTCTTTTTAGTATTGTTATCAACTCCCCCGTCGTGATTGAGCCATTTCCGTCTTTGTCAAAAAGTTTGAATGCCTCTCTGTATTCTGGAATTAAAGCAATGAAATACCAGTCAGTAACCATTGTAACTGCTATCTCGCCAAGCGTGTCGCAAAATTTGCAAGTGCAGGAGTTTCAACTCTTCTTATTTTTTAAAGCTTATAAGTTGAATTATGCTTTTGTAATTAATAAAGATTTTCAATTATACATATCCTTTTTGTAAGAGAAAACGTGAACCATACTAGTGCTTACCTTCAATTTTATCTTCTGTTAAATTTTCTATCTATAAAGAAATCGGGAAAATCACAATGAAATTGATTAATCGTATATTTCTCACTGATATGTTTCCCGCGCGCACTTGGTAGCTATTTTTTTTTAAGAATAACCCTAACTTCCCGTTTGACAAGTCTAAATTCAAAGGGAGAAAAATAAATATAACACTACCCCACCCCAAGAAATTAAAAAAAATAATCTTTATGGTATTACATTTTCTAATCATATATAACACAGTACCTGGGATATCTTGTCCATGTTTCTGTCGATGACTTCTTAGTTGGACTGTATACGTTGCATTGAATCAGCAGCATACCTTCAGCCTGTGATACAACAAAAATTAACCATAAAACCGAATAGATAAATCATGGTGGACTTTACGTACATAATCCTGATCAAATTTATTCGTATTTGTTATGTTTATTTCTGGTTTCAATAACGTGATCTTTGTTGTTGTGCTATAAAAAGTGTTTGCGTAGTTAAATGTTTCAAATCCTTTTCTTTTTGCCCAGCATTGTATACGTCGAACAAATCGTAAATTGGGTGTATTGATGTATTGGCTTCTATCGACTCCGAGTGATTTATTAAGAGGGACCTTGGAAAAGTTGATAGTTTATTTTTCCACACCATTTTCCGAAGGTCTACTTCGATGTTAAACCTTATGCACCAGAATGAGATATAGAGATTTGTTCCTTGTTCTCCTTAAAAATTCCCTGTCTTTAAGATATTGATACACTTCAACCTAACTATCAAAAAAGTCTGAATAAAGACGTTCCGGACATTTTGGTTGCGTTTTATTCATCAGTGACTCAAATGCTGACTGACGTTTTTCATACTAATTGTTAGTACATTATTTATACACTGAATTTACGACGGATTTTCCCATTATTTCCCGATCATGACAAGGAGCACACGGCGAGTGTGACCAGTCGACAGGGGATGCTTAATCCTCCATGGCACCTGATCCCACCTCTGATGTTTTGGAGGTCCGTGTTTGCTCTGCTCCTGTTTTGTATTTTATGGATTTTTGATCTTGAATACTGTTCGCTATCTTCACAAGTTTCATTTATATAATTATGAAAAAAATCTTTCAAACTACCTATTGTAGTCACCTGCGTTGAACAATAAATAGAGGCATGCGCTATAGAGTCAAGGAAGGAGTTGGTCCTTCGGATGAAACTGAAAAACCGAGACATCCTATTCGCATAAGGTGCTGGCACGAAAAGACTTTTCACTGTTTATACATAGAACGTAAATTCCTCGTCTAATTAGCAAATATAAAAAGTTTCAACTAATTTTTACAATTAGTTTATTCAAGAAATTATGTTAAAGTTTGTTTTATAAAATATTTTGATCAGCACATATGACACTATGGGACGTGTAGAACCGGTGGGTCGGATTAAACCGCGTGTAACCCGAGGTCGCAGTAGATGCCAGCACGAATGACTGCATAAGACAGGTGACTACTGGATAGAGGCGACCTCTAAAACAAGTTTAACTGTATATTCAGCTTATCAAAAGCTTATCAAAGATAAATTATTTGAATATTATCTGAAATTAACGCTTCCATCACTGGTGTTTTGCTGTGTACCACATAACCACAAGTTTGACATGCTCCATCAATTTGGACAAGGGAATGGAGCTTTTGCATTTTTTGCACTCTTTAAATACCATTTCATCCTCCTTCAAAATTAAATAGGCATACTGTAGGAGTACTTTTTTCCGCGTGGTATTAATTTACGCTATGTACACGGTCACACATTTTCCGTGGAAATCTGTCCAAGCGGACTTAATATAAATGTAAGGCACATAATGACAGTCTAGGAAAACCGCGTAATTTTCTACTCGCAGATTCAACAGAAATTGAGATTCCGCGGAATTATGACTCCCTGGAAAAAAAGTATGTCTACAGTAATTTAGTTAATAAACCGTTAATTTCGAATGTAATGTAAATACGTGTAGTACTCCTGTACTAAAATCCTTGATCCTTTGGTTATAGGGAAAACATAAGATTCGTCTTGGTCTCAACAATATTCATTAATCATACAGCAATTCTCATTTCAACAGGTACAATAATAAATTTTGGTGGCGTCTACCACACAGGCTTTTAGTTCTATTATAAAAAAAGGGGAGTATAATAGCTATACTAGGATGATCCCCACCGTTATTAACAATTTAATAGGTATCCAGTGTGTTGGGAGATAATTGTGAATCATTTTCTCACCTGAAATCACAATGGTAAGGCTATATAAAGTTATGGTGAAAATATAGGCGGATCTTGGATTTACCGGTATATCTCTTTGAATATCACCGCCAGACAACTCGGCAAACTATCTGTTTACATCATGCGATCGGTCCCTATATATAACCTTCGGGAAAAGGTCACATGACAGGATTCAACCAATGACAACAACGTACGACAATGTATAAAATGATAATCGTGTCGTACAGTCAAACAAAGTTGTCGTGCAATATGGATTCTAAACAAACCCAGGAACTAACATGTGAAAAAACAAAATACCCGGTAACCAATAAATATGGATCCCAAAAGATGTGTCTATAATAAGTAAGTAAACAATTTACATCTGAAACTTGTAAATTTTACAAAAGTAAAATTGCTAAGTCGCAGTAGGCGCTGGCACGAAAAAGGTCCCTCACTGCTCAATGTTAAACAACATACAATCAACCTATTGATTCCTCCATCATTCCCTGGAACGCTCCGCCTCAGACACATGGTAGTAAAGTCCAGTTCAAGAAGCTTCTGGTCAGGTGTAAGTCAAATAAAGTTCTTTGGTGGCCAGGAAAAAGAGGTATTTCCACAAGTCACAGCTGCTTCAAGCTCCCTTTGACGTCTGGCTGGTGGAAGTAGTGGCATACAGCCAGTGGAAAGTAGCTTTGTGGCCCGTACTGCTAGTTGCAGTTGCAGAAAGGGTCCTCAGGGGATCTAGTGAGAGCAGATACAGGAACAGCAGTAGACTCAAGGGGGGGATAGCGACTTGAGTTTCCATCGGAACAGAGGCTGACATCTCGAAGGAAGCAGAGGTAGATGATGTAGGAGTAAGAGGAGAGAGTGGAAGATGGACTGTGGTCTAATAGCTATTCTTCTAATCTTATTTTCTTCCTCTCTGGTTCCTTAGCCTTGAATAGGCTGGGAGTTCTGGTGACTACAGTGCGGGCTGGGGATGGCATAGATTCAATATCAGAATCGGCAAACGACTCAACTTCTGGTCGATGCTTTTGTAATTTGGAGACTGCTTTAATAGACTTTTGTACAATACTCAGAGATGTAACAAAGTGATTATTTCATTGTTTTTGTAGATCCAATGGTTTAAGTTTGCCAAAGGTGGAGTAACAAGCTAAAATTTCAGCAAGGCTATTTTTAGCTCTACTGGTGAACCAGAAGAGCTTGTGCGATAGTAATGCGTCCGGCGTCCGTTTGCTATAAATAGAAATTTTTGTGAAATACTTTCAAATTGCTACTCCTTCTACAGTTTTGGTCTGAATTCAATATATATAATTTGGCACACAAATAGACTACACTAAGATACACAATTCTGTGAGTCTGTTTTTGATTCCAACTTTGAACTGTGTTGCCGTGGTCACTACAAATAGGAATTTCTTAGAAATACTTTCCAAATGCTACTCCTCCTACAGTTTTGATCTGATTTCAACATACAACTTGGCGCACTGTAAGTAGAATAAACTAAGATACATAATTCTGTGTATCGGTTTTTATTTCGATGAACGATCTTGCCTTGGATATTAAAATTAGAAATTTCTGTGAAATACTTTTCAAATGTTATCCTCCATCAATTTTGGTCTGATTTCAGTATAACATGGCACACACATAGACTAAACTAAGATACATATTTCTGTATATCGGTTTTTGATTTCAATGAACAGTGTTGCTGTGGTTCCTTAAAATTGATATTTCTGTAAAATACTTTGAAAAGGCTACTTCTCCCACAATTTTAGTCCGATTTCAATCAATATAACTTGGCACACATATAGACTATATTAAGATACATTATTCTGTGTATCGGTTTTGATTTTGATGAATGGTTTTGTCATGGTTACCAAAATTGAAAATTCTTTAAAATACTTCTAGAGTTGAAGTTCTATTGCAGTCTTGTCACATAAAAAGACTTTATAAAGTATCATTATTCATTCTATTTATTGCTGTTGTAAAGTTTCAAGTCCTAACTGCCAATTTTTTCTTCCTTTGCTATAAGTACAAACAGTAGAGCTACAGTTTCGACAGAGATTTCTGGTTCCTGAAAAGGCTAGCAATTCCCCTGGGTGTAGGAGCACACCGTCCTCCAGGCTAAGACAGTAAAAGTTCACCTCATCCGCTAGCACTGCTGTCAAGGCCTTATGCACCAACGAAATAGAGGTTTTGCTGAAGAGACCAGAAGAGCCATGGTTATACTCAGGAACAACAGATGAAAAGTTTGTGGCCTCCGACTCCTAGCCTTCCAACCACTCCTGCCTGGAACGCCTAAGGATAAAGGATATCTTCCTCGTCCAGTCAAGGAGGAGGGCTCTCAACTTCCCAGAAGCTCTTAAGTTTTTTTTGTGGGCTCCACCAATAATCTGTACAGAGATGCTTGACAGGAGATCCAAAAGCAGTTGGGCTCGAAGAAAAGATCCGCCACAGGGACATTAAGAGATGGAAGATACTCTTTGTGGCGCTTTAGGATGTGGTTCTTTAGATCGGTAGGCCTACTGAAAGTGTTCTCTCTCTTGAGATACAAAAAGGACACACAACTTTCATGGCACAGTGTGGTGCTGGCATCAGATGCTCCTTCAGGTTCCGCCTGCTGTTGAACTGCATATCGCATCTCTTTCATTAACTTCTATGTTGCACTGGAACATCCTGTGGATGGAAATGTTATTTTCTAATACAAGTTTGTTTGTTTTCTAGGTCATTATGGAATTAATGTACATCAAAGTAACACCATGACAACTACAGGACTTTTCAATAAGGGACAAAAATCTAGGCAGGTACAAATGGTAATATAGGTTTCTATTGGTATGAAGGGGAATACATGCAAGGTCTTGGGAAGGGGTTAAGATAGGTCATTTGTATAGGAGGGAAAATGGGCTATAGGGCTAAAACCTCTGGCAATAGTAGGTACAGTATAACCAAATTATCCCTAATGTAAGTTCAAATATATGGTATCAAGGGAGACTAAAACACTGACAAAAGAAAAACAATAAAAATGCAGCAGCACCTCTGCTGGCAACAACGTACAACTCCTAAATTATCTACACACAGGCAATGGTCACATCTTGAGATGCAGGGCCCTTGCATCTAGACGTCGACCCAGTGAGAGCCTTCGGCAGCACTTTCCTGCAAAGTTTGGACAAAAAACACTGGTTCTGATATCTCGACATCACTTAGTTGTTTTGGCCTTGGAATAACAACTTCAAGGGGCATCATTATGTTCCACCCAAACATTATCATGTTCGGTGAAATGTCTGGAATGACAAGTGGATCTATAAGCCACCATTAGTTGTGGTAATACTTCAACCCA